TCCTATATTTTGTAACTTCATTCCCAGTGGAGGGACTAGAGGTATTCCCAGGAGAGGACCATTGCTCGGGAGCAGCAGGGGCAGCAGCTGAGCTGAATCTGTCCCCTGAGCGGGGACTGCAGGCTGCTCCCAGACCTGGTGGAAAACTCTTCACAAGTAGTGAGCAGGCAGCACAAAAATAGCCCAGGGCCTGGCCCCTGAGATACACGTGGAATGCAGACTCATGGACACATCTGCTGCTTCATTTCTTCAGGTAACTCTTATGACTCAGATGGCTAGCGGCTCGTGTTAAAATTTGGAGGAGAAATGGGAAAGCCTCTAAAATTGCCATTTGGATTGCTCTGGTTATATATTGCAAACGCCTTACTGGTAGATAACTCCAGCATCCAGGGCTTCCCATGCTCAGAAGGACAGCTAAAAGTGGAGGCTGACCTGGGGATGTTGAAAATACGACATAAGCAGCATCTCTCACTTCAGAAAAGGTGTTGGCTGCCCGCAGGCTTCTGAGTAGGTTGCTGTGTAGTTGGCAAGTATTCAGTGTAAAGGTTCCTGGCCTCCCGAGATGACAGCCAGCCCTGCGTAGGGTGCAAGGACTCACACCTGCAGAAATCATGCCTCCCCCTGAGAGCGGAGTGACAGAGGAGCGTGGCTTTGAGGAAAGGCTTTGGTGGTGAGATGGAAACATCAAATGCCTTGTAGGGGATGGTGCTGCTGCATGAAGGCTCTGACCATTGAAAATGTGGGTTTGGATTGTAAGTGATGTAGCCTTGCTTTGAATAGTCAGCCTTTGCTGTCACCTTATCCTTGCACAAGAAGTGGGAGAGCTGCCAGAGCTGCGTGCAACTGCTTACTCTTCTTGCTGTCCTTTCCAGCCTTCCCCTGCCCAAAGACATCAGGTGTTATAGAGAACAGACTTCTGAGGCGGGGTCTTCTCTACCCTTTGAAATGTGCTTCTGCTGCAAAGGAGAGCCATATTTTGCTGAGTTAAGCATGGCAATGTGTATGTCACATATTGGTTATATTTTAAAAAGTTGTGTTGATGACTGATGCCCTGATTGATACCGGGTTCTTTATCATCTGCACCTTTTCCTCCCTCAGATGGTGTTAACATGTATTTTCATTGTGTTGGACTTCTATTTATCTGATTTTAAGTTGGTGCTATACATAGCTCAAGGCTTGTAGCTTTTGTTTGATGTGTAATAGCAGACAATTTAAAGTTGTGGTTTGCTCTTCATGTCATAAAGCAGTTTGTTTTCCTAGTTTTAACTGTGTCACCTGCTCTTCAGGGGACTGTACAACCAAGTGTTTTTTATATTTCACTGAGCTCTTTCAGAGAGGGAAGAAGCTATGTCTGTCTTTGAGACAAATCAGCTGGCTGTTCAGGTCTCAGGAGCACCAATGAAAAGAAATTAATGAACCGTTCAGCTGAGAACAGGGACTATTTGAGATGGACAGTCCTAAGCTGAGGTAGGTAGTCCTGAGGTAGTCCCAAACTTCTTTGCAACTATATCCGGGCTCCTCATGTGGATGGGGGAGCTCCAGGTACGCCTCTGCAGTTCCCTGGTGGGCAGGAGCCACCCCATCAGCAGCCACCAGGAGTGGCCTCCACGCTGGACCGGCTGCGTGCGCTGACGTCTCTCTACTCATCCTCAGGACAGCGAGTGTCAGAAGACCAGAGCACGCTGGCACTCCTGCTGTTCATCTCCCATGCTCCTGTGGCCGGAGGGCTCTTCTCCAGGCTGGCGACGAGGTAACTTTTCTCCAGCCTCAGCGTTCATTGGGATGAATCCGAGTGAGAGCGGTGCTGCTCCCCGGCTGGAAGGCTGAGGCCAATGGAAGAGTGACGCACATTCTGCATGGTGTTTTGCCAGCCACCGCCGTCAAGGCTGAGTAAAAATTTTAATTTATTTTAATCTAGTTATTGAGGCATTTTAATTCCATCAAAGGAAATAACACAAGACAATCTACAAATATTCATTTGCTACTTTTAGGTGAATTTGATTCAGCTGTGCTTGGTTTCTCCTTTTTGGGTTTGACTCTGAGACTTACTTCTCGCTTACAGGCACGAGTATTCGAGGATTGTGAACCTTAAAAATTGCAGTCTAAATTCTGCATTTCGTACATGAATATTTAAACAGAGTAATAGAATCTGTCCTTTCTGTAAGGCCCTGTTTTTAATCATTAATGCCTGTTCTTTTGAGCAAATAAACCTCATATATGAGACTTGCATGCATTTTAAAAAAAGATACATCTCTGGGATAAGTTCCAATATGACAATATTCTGGTTATGAATATTTATAGATCCATCAAAATTGGTGAATACTGAATTTTCTGATGAACATTGTGGAGGGTTTTTTTTAATACTTTTCTTTTGAAAGAGACTGAAAAATTATTTGCAAATTGGGTCAAATTCAGTACATAGTTCTGGTCAAAAAGCATCTTTTTTATTTTTTTCTTAAAAATACTTTTCAAACTTTTTGATTGAAAGCAACTTTTTCATGCATAATTTATCCAAATTGCAAAAAACCACAAACCACCCAAACCCTTTGACAGTATTGCATAACACGAAACAAAACAAACTATTTCATTTGTGGCAAAGATTTTAAGCGAACAAAAATTATATTTGGGAGTTTTTTAATGTAAGAGTTATGTTGCCTGTTGCATGTTAGGAGCAGAATACTGATCAATGTGGCTGCCCTGGTGTTATTTCCAGGTTGCAATGACAGTTTTTCATCCAGATGCATCAGTGTTTTGTTAGAACTGTGAAGAAAACCATCAGGCTGTTGTCCGAATTTGCATACGTATCACATTGTGTTTAAGAAAGTACTATTGCCCCTTGCACTCGGGCTCACGAATGTGGCAGCATTTGTTCTTTCTGTGCCACAAGTATGGCAATGTTTTTTTTTTTTTTTTTTTCTGTGCACCAGGTGTCCTCACTCGGTATGTTTTACATTGAAGATGAAATTTTTAATGAAACAAACTATTTCATTTGTGGCAAAGATTTTAAGCGAACAAAAATTATATTTGGGAGTTTTTTAATGTAAGAGTTATGTTGCCTGTTGCATGTTAGGAGCAGAATACTGATCAATGTGGCTGCCCTGGTGTTATTTCCAGGTTGCAATGACAGTTTTTCATCCAGATGCATCAGTGTTTTGTTAGAACTGTGAAGAAAACCATCAGGCTGTTGTCCGAATTTGCATACGTATCACATTGTGTTTAAGAAAGTACTATTGCCCCTTGCACTCGGGCTCACGAATGTGGCAGCATTTGTTCTTTCTGTGCCACAAGTTGGCAATTTTTTTTTTTTTTTTTTCTTCTGTGCACCAGGTGTCCTCACTCGGTATGTTTTACATTGAAGATGAAATTTTTAATGCTGCGTAATTGAAGCCTTTAACTTCTACAGTAATAGATGTCAGATGAGGATTTAGGTTTCTGTGTGCCCAGTGAACCCTGGCTGCCTTTCCTCCACCTCTCAGCACATACTGAGAGGTGTGCTTAAATATGGGTGTGAACAGTATGTGATCTAAATAGCCCAGAAGGAAAGCCCTGTTGCAACACATAGGACATTTTTGAATCAACCGTTTTTCAAAGACATTAGTTTGGCTGGTGAGGACTGGGTTTTGGACTTGGGAATGAAAGCAACGTATCAGTATTTCCCATGGGATGGAAACACAATTTTCCAGTCATCTCTAGCTGAGGGTGACTGATTCAGAAAGTAAAAGATTAAAGAGATACGAATGACGGTATAAAGGAGAGAATGACAAAAGGTTTACCAAGAAGACGCGGAGGCAAGTGATGAAAACCAAGATAGCTTTATGGGCAGGCTACAGGGACCCTCAAGATAAAAGTGCGGCCACTGATTTCCGACAGTAACATCAGAAAATGTCAGTCAGGTGTGGCGACCATAGCGTTGTGCAAACAGGCATACCCTCCAAGACCTCAGCTTTGTCCCCGGCTGGTTGGGGGCACAGCAGTGCAATGGTGGTGAACCTTTCAGCTGTGGCAGAAGCAGCATGAGTACCTATTGCAGTAGGGTGCTCCTCCTTCAGACCTGAGCAGAAGAGCTTGGGAGCCTGACTGTGGGAATACAAAGGAATATTTTTCAGTACAGCGTAGTGCAAGTTTGCCAGGCCAAATTAGGATCATTTATGTATGATATCTGACTGTAGAAGAAAGTATTGGTGATGTTCTTAGCCAAATCCATGTTCAAGCAACAGCTGATTGCGTTTACATCAAAATTCTCTACCGATAACCATATATATTTTGATTGGAAAGCTTTTGGATACCATGGAGTTCTGTGGTTTTGTGTGAGCCAGAAAACAATGTGTTGGAATGACAGCACTGCCTCAGTCTTACCAATTGACTGCTGATCTTTTGCCAAAAAGGAGGTAACCATTTATAAAATATGGTTTGTTAAAAAGTATATATAGTTGTAGAATAGCACAAGTTACTAGATACATTTTTAGTTCACTGTATCTATGAAAGCAGGAAACAAACTCACATGTTTTTGATCTCTTGCAGCAGGACGGTTGCCCTTTTTGTTCTACTACAGAAGTGGGGTTACCCTTCAAGAGATTAAAAGCACGCAAGGGTTAGGAATCATTCCTTTGTCAAATAGTTGATGAAGTCCAGATCCTGAATTTTCCTAGCCATGCATTTACCTTGATTTTTTCAGTCAGAATTGTAATGTGTGCATGTTTGCTCTTGCAAAACCTTTTTTTTTCCATGTTCTGCAAGTAAGTCTATGAAGTTGCAAGGAGAGGTCTGTAGCTATCTTTGTGCTAGCTAGCTGGACATGAATAATGAGCAACTAGAGTTTCCTGTAAAATGCTATCAGAGATTCTGGATTTTTAAAACTTGTTTGTAAACAGTAGTGGCTAGGTTTTTTTTATTTTCAAAACCCTTTTTGCTTTACTTCCTGATATTTATTTTAAATTTTTGCTTTCAAAGGAAAAAGAGGTTTTAGTATGTGTTCTCTTTAAATGAATTTGCACAACAATTTGTAACATCCCATTTTCTTTGCTTTCACTTTCTGCAGTGCCGGTTCCTTTTGCTAAGGATGGCTCAGACATGGGCAGTTCTGGCTGCATTCCTTTTCTTGCTAATCAATCTAATTGAAGGGCCAGGTAAGTGAGAAAGATCTAAAACTACATGCAGTGCTCTCTGGTACTGTGTTTTTCAAACTGACTGATACATTGAAACTTTGCAGTTGACCAGGGGAAGCTCTCCTTGTTGTGTGAACGTGAAGCTGGCAAAATAATCATGTGCCTTACAGAGTGGCACGGGGTGATGTATCTGACAGGAATCCAACACAGATCACCTGAAGACCGACCTCCTGTTCAACTGGGGCAATATCAGGAGAGCTAAGATTTCTGGTAGAAAAGGGATCTATGTATGTCCCTTAGTAAACGTGCCTTGTGAACTACTGCACCAAGTGATCTTAGGTTTTAACCTTGTTAGAGGTGTATGTTCCACTGCTATCCCCAGGCTTTCTTGCTCTTTAAACAACATGCTTAATGCAATAACACAATAATTGTTCAAAAAAGTAGTTTCCTTTCCCTTAAGGGTGAATCTTGCCCTCCCCCTCAGTTTTTCAAAGCCCACGTTAAAGCGACAGAAATCTGTTGCCTAAAATAAGATGGAGAACTTGCAGCTCATCAGCATGCATCACGTACCTGCACAGTGTCCACAGCAGAAAGGCACAACCTCCACTGCATTTCCAGATTTCAAAGAGTGACAGCAGGAAGCTGTACCTGGAAATTGAATACTACTTATATGTGTCTGCTCAGGGCAATGGGATCCCAAGACTGTCAGCACACTAAGAAGTAGAAAGTTTTAAGTGTGATGAAGCCAAGAGTTTTCTGTGCTTTAATGATGGCTGTAGCATCATTTTTCATGTCTTTTTTCTTCTTATGTAGCTTACAAGGCGGTGAATGTGGAGGCTGGTCATGAGGCTGTGCTGAGTTGCCCTGACGTCTCCAAGATGCCTTTGCTGCTGGTGACGTGGAAGATGAAATGCAGCGCTTGCTGCCTGTTGGCTTATAGAAGTGATCGCAAAGAGACAAAGAAGCTAAACTGCAGTGAGAGGATGATGTGGAAATATTCACCTGACAATAACCCTGCTCTTCGTATTTACCCTGTGAACCTTGGTGATGAGGGAAATTACAGCTGTGAAATTGTCAACGATTCAGGGAATTTTCTTCTTTTCTCTTCTCTGACTGTAATAGGTAAGACACGCCTTGTGGTTTTGTTTGGGTTTTTTTGGTTTTTTTGGGGGGGAGTCTTTTTTTTTTTCCTGTGCATGAGTAGATCAAAATGATTTGATTTGATGGTAAAAGACCAAATTAATTTTGGATACATACTGAAATTGAAAACAGAGGTAAGCTGATTTAGCCTGGCTATTAGCCTGGGAAAAAAAAAACAACCATGAGGAGTTACACAATAGGACTTGGCTGTTCTATGGAGAAATAATCTGGGGGTTTTGTGTTTTGTTTTTTTAACAACTTCTGATTCACAGACAGGTTTTTAAATGCACAAATCCAGCAGTCTCCATAGTTTCTGAGAGAGTTCCTTAGGTGTAACATGGGGTTTGAATGTTGTGTGAATGTTCATGCAACCAGGAGTATAAACTCTTGGTTAAGTTAATGAAAGAAGATATCATAAATATTGCTGCTATAATTAGAGCAATAGGATGCTGAACCAAAATTCCTAATGAGATCAATGTGTGTTTTTTCTGGGTAATAGCTGAATAGGAAGGAAGGAAAACTTGACACTATTATGACACTGTCTGGAAATATTCCACTCTTCCAGAAATACTGAGAGCTGTTTATAAGACTGCATCACTAAAATAAAATGAAATGAGTCTATTTTCAACATAGGCAGGAATAAAAGAATGTTAGGAAACATAATGAACATATCAAATCATCTTTTTCAGGTAGTCAGGTAAACTGTCTCTAGGTTTCCATAAATTTAAAAAACCCAAAACAATATAGGAAGAGATTTTGTGTTCTGGCCGTATTGATTAAGCCTTCCGAATATAACTAAAAATTACAGGAAATGAACTTTGGAATTCTATAGTTGCTATTATTAATTTTTGCCATGTGACTTTTTTGTTCTTCCTTGCAGGGTCTTGCCTTTCTGATAATGGCTTGGGTACTGTCCTAGCCATTGGCTGTTTTGTGAACTGCAGAATATGAGTTATTGGACTTTAGGCAGAACAGTTTTGTCTAATTCCTTCTTTATTTCCCTACTGCTAAATTCTTGATTCTACCTACCCAATCTCCTAAATATTCTAGCAAGAGCTTCAGCAAGCTGTGTTTTCTTCAGTAGGTGCATGCTGTACTTACAAGTCTTCATTTAATCCACCCCTCTCTGTCACCTAATCTTCTCCTGTTACTACTGTAGCCACCTTTTGGAAAACATGAGGCTGCAGTTCTTTTAGATGCAGGTAGCTCATTTTGGAGATATTCACCTTGGACTTTTTGGTGTATTTTTTTTCTGTAAACATTGTTGATGCTGATACTCCAAATAATTTTAAAATCTCCTGAATTGGTCATGCAAACTGAAAAATAGCACCTATTTTTCAGTTTCTTAGTTGGTGATTTTATTCTGGACCAGAAATAATGGTTGTGGCTTTTTTTTTCTTCTCTGTAGTCCCTCCTACAGTGACTTTGACCTGTGACAAGAACAGGGTGGCTGCCTGTCAGGCGTCTGCTGGAAAGCCAGCTGCTGACATCTCCTGGATCCCTGCAAGTAATCAAAGCACCGAGGAAGAAGTCCGCCACCCCAATGGGACAGTGACCAGAGTGAGCTACGTAGGCTGGGTCAACAGCACGCTTCCCTCTGTCACCTGCCTGGTTACCCACCCAGCTACAAACCAGACTCTGTCCCTAGACCTGCCATGTAAATAACATTGCTCTTTAATTGCTCTTCATTGTGCTCTTGGGCTTCTTTGAACTGTTCTGTGCAGCTGTTCCCACTGAACGCCAGGGCTCTGCAGATGGCTTAGTGGGGTTATAAGCCGAAGTCCTAGTGCACGTTGATAGAGAAATTAATATTTTTGAATTAGTGAGTTGAAAACAAATGTTTTGTGGCATTGTATGGAGAAGCTTTCAGTGCATGCTTCTTTCTATTCCTGTTCTGTTTTACAAGAGTTCCTCGTTCTGCTTTTGGTGGGTTGACCTTGGCTGGTCACCAGGTGCCCACTAAGTGGCTCTGTCATTCCCTCTCTTCAACCAGGCAAGGGGAGAAAAATATGAGAAAAAGCTTATGGGTTGGGAAAAGGACAGGGAGGTTACTCACCAATTACTGTCACAGGCAAAACAGACTCAACTTGGGGAAATTAATTTAATTTATTGCCAATCACATCAAAGTTGGATAGTGAGAAATAGGAACGAATCTAAAAGCATCTTTCCCTCACCCCTCCCTTCTTCCCAGGCTCAGCTTCACTCCCAGCTTCTCTACCTCCTCCCCCGAGTGGCACAAGGGGATGGGGGTTGCTGTCAGTTCATAACACTTTGTCTGTGCTGCTCCTTCCTCCTCACACACTTTCCCTGCTACAACATGGGGTCCCACCCACAGGAAACAGTCCTTCATGAACTTCTTCAATGTGGGTCATTCCCACGGGCTACAGTTCTTCATGAACTGCTCCAGCTCGGATGGACTTCCACAGGGTGAAGTCCATCAGGAACAGGCTGCTCCAGTGTGGGTCCCCCATGGGGTCACAGGTCCTTGCCAGCAACCTGCTGCAGCACTGGAGCTCTCCACTGGGTCACAGCTTCCTCCGGAGCACATCCACTGGCTGTAGCATGGACCTCCATGGGCTGAAGGTGGATATCTGCTCCACTGTGGTCCTCCATAGGTTGCAAGGGGACAGCCTGCTTCTTCATGGTCTTCACCACAGGCTGCAGGGGAATCTCTGCACTGGTGCTTGGAGCACTGCTTCCTCCTCCTTCTTCACTGACCTTGGTGTAGGCAGAGTTGTTTCTCTGTCATGTTATCACTCCTCTCTCCCAGCTGCTGTTGCACAGCAGTTTTAACCCCTTCTTAAATATGTTATCACAGAGGTGCTACCAGCACTGCTGCCTGGCTCAGCTTTGGCCGCCGGCAGATCTGTCTTGGAGCTGGCTGACATTGGCTCTGTTGGACATGGGTGCAGCTTCTGGCATCTCACAGAAGCAAACCTCCCCACCACCAAAACCTTGCCATGCAAACCCAAGACACTGCTTCAGTGACCTTTTTAATCACTGATGACAGAAAAGTTGCTTTCAGCAGCTGCTGTGATACAGCTCATTGATTTTTGATGTGAAGCTTTGAACCCCTGAAGCTGAATTTTGTCCAGCTTCCCACAGTGGTGATGGGCTGGAGAAAAAATCCTTGGAGAATGTCTGTCTGTGACTTTCAAGTGATCTTTCCCAGGGCCAAAGGTAGTAAAGGGTAATATTCAGCTTCTCATCTGGCTGTGCTGGATCTATTGGAAGTCTATTCCAGTAGGACTTGCAAGAACAGCTGACTGAGTGCTCATATCACCAAAATATCTCAGTAGAGCCACGAAGGGCAGAGGTCAGGGTAGACCAGTCATTCATAACAGCAATTTGCAGGGATGGCTGGTCAGTTCTGTTGTTACAGGGCTAATATCATTTGAAGACAAGAAGGCTGTGCAGGCAGCAGAGTTGAAAATGAAGGTGTGTTTATGCACACAAATGACTGGGCATGTGAGGCGGCTTCCTATTGCTCATTGGCATCCAGTCATCTCATCTGTGTCTCTTGGCTCATTTTAGCTATAGGGGTGGAGGATCAGCTTTCTCCTCTGGTTAAGGGGAGGAAGTAACATCATGTAGTTGGTGGATACTGATGTCTAGCTATGTAACTAGCTTTCTTTTCTCATCTCTCAGGCAATGCCCCCAGGCTTCCCTATCTCCTGATAGAAGGACTTGCAAGTTTTGCTGCTGTTAGTGGTGTGATTTTATGCTTGATTTTGGGGTACAGAGGTAAGTCATTTGATGACTCTGAAATATATTAGAATTCCATTGCTGACTAAGTGCAGGTACAAGGACATGTACTTTATTGCTGAATGTGGGGTGGGAGGCAAAGATTGAAGAAAATGTCCATATATGATGCATTGTCCTTTTGGAAAAGTCCTAATAAAATAAGGGGTGGAACTTTAAAACAAGTCCGGAGTTCTGTAAGAGCCACAGTTATTATGATGTTAATGCATTATAAATATGTCAGGGAGTCATCCAGGGCGAAAATGATTCTTTCTGAGAGTAGGGTAGGTTTTGAGTTTTTAGAATTATTTTGATTGTTCTGCATTTACCAACATAAAATTCTATGCATAAGAATGACAGTTCACAAACTAGTCTACTGGCTAGACACAAACAACTTCTATCAGGAATCAGAAGTTGTCCCTTGAGCAAGTGTAAGAATAGGCCAAATCTACATACTTCCCTCTGCTACGCTAGCAGTGTCTCACGCTGTATAGATTTCATTGACACTGGGCCAGGTTCATACTGAATAATTTGATACTGAGAACTCAGATGATGGTTTGCTACTCTTGGAGTCGAGTTAGGACGGCTGTGATGGACTATGAAGGGAGCAGAAGCCCAAGAAGAGGTTTAAAATGGGAGGAAGAGAGAATAGCAGGCTGAAGGCAAGAGGGCTTTCAGGAGAGCAGGAGATGAAGCAGTGGGAGAAGGCAATGCAGAAGCAGCTGAACTGTAAACGGAGGGGACTTGCAGAGAATCAGAGCACCTGATTTACTCTCCTCCATTGCCTCAGAGCTGCTCTAGCTTTACTGCTTCTCTTGGGTTTCTTCTTTGTGCTCAATGTCTTTCAGATTATTCCGCATACGTTGGGCATATTATAATGCAGATATATTTCATGAACCAGGTCTCAATGAATGGGGTGAAAGAGGGCTGGCAAGAGGGGACAATGAGGGGAGGCGTGCTCTCAACAAAAGCAGAGAAGATAGGCTGAGGAAAAGAAAAGACAGGAAAAGGAAACAGAAGGACAGTTGTCCTCTGCAGTGGCAGCACTGACCGGTGCTTGCAGCAGTTTGATGGGAGCCTGTCCCTGTCACAGAGCGACACGTGTCTTTGGGGCAGGTGAGGAGAGGAGATATTGTGCTCAGAGAGCTTCCTTGGCCCAGTGTGTCCCTGCAGAACTGAGGAAAAATACACCTAACTGAGTCAATTCAGTCATGTCTCCCAGGTTGACCAAAAGTTTCAATGAGGGGAAAAATAAAACAGCAGTGTGTTTAAGAGCAGGTCATAAAAAATAGGAACTTAACCTATGAGTGTAACTGTATTTTGAATAAAGTCTTTTAACAGCTGAGGGCAGCTAAAAGCGAACTCTAGACATAACAACTGGGCACCTTGCCCCATCAACCCATTTTAATTCCCTGACATCTTACTTTCAGCTTTCAGGTTACGTAAATTAACACGTGGGTCAGCAGCACCATCACAGTAAGTGAGCTTTTTTTTTTTTCATGTGTGTGCGCTTTGCAATATTTTGTGTATTCTTCACGAAAACATGCAATTTCATTGCAACCTGTCTGTTCTGACAAAACTCCCACTTACCTCTGTGTATCCTGGGAGGGGGGAAGGAGAAACAGCATATCTGGGAGAGTGTCTATTGTTTGGATGTCCCTGTCTTCATGTGTTTTCAGAGTATCTAAGTAACTGTTTAAGCACTGGATTGAGAGAGGTGTAGTGCATTTCCTGCCTCAGAATACTATAAATTGCATTTACAATGCCAGTAGGTAGGCTGAATTTTAAATGTCCCAAAAGTTAATGACTTTACATTTTTGTTTCACAGAGTAATCTGATCTTTTGCTTAAGAATGTGTATTGCCCTTGATGGTAGAAACCTGCCTGGTCAAAGATCGAATAAAAACAGACACACATTTACAATGAGGGAAAAGCGTGCACTTCCATATGTTGTATTAGAGACAAACACAGCTATGAAACTTTAATCTTTGAAGTTGTAGATCAAACACTCAGAAGCTAGGAAACAGCAGTGATAAATTTGCCACTGCAATTTTTATTTCCCCTCGAATTCCAGTGTGTCATGATACGTATTTAACAGCACGATAATATGCTGCTATTTCCTCAGGGCTTCTGCGTCATTTAATGCACACTGAAAGAGCAATTATTTAATGTTTTGTTTTCTGCTCACGGCTAAATTAATGGCCGCGTGCCTTGTTTGTTGCAAACTAGTCAAACAGTGCTCTGAAGTTAGAGTGATTAATTTACTGATATGCTTTTCTACGGCATTTGGGACAATTTGACTGACAGAGCGGGAGTTGTAGAGATTAAAGTTGAAAGCTTCCAGTAATTTTAGGTACCTAAATTGGATTGCCTGTGGCCTGCCTGGTTTTTTCAGAGACGTTAGCAGTGTTCATTATCATCTACTTTGCTGAAAATACCAACATTTCAAAATTTGTTTTCAATCACAAGAAAAGATTCAAAGACTGCAGTAGTTGCATCTAGTGGGAGGTGTCCCTGCCCATGGCAGTGGTGTTGGAACTTGATGATCTCTAAGATCCCTTCCAACTCTAACCGTTCTATGATTCTATCTCTGTCAGTTCAGGTTTCACCTTCTGTGCCTTACCCTGTTGCTTGCAGAGCTTAGAGAAATAACTTCACACTTCTTTTGCAAAAGTAATGTTACCTACCATGTTTCTTTTGATCTTTTTTTTGTTGTTGTTTGGTATGGTGATTCCACAAAATTCTACAATGTAACATAATGGTACATGTTTTTGTTTATATTGCAGACTAAGAACTTCAAGTCCATACCCTCAAGTAACAAAACAGAAGCAGCCGACCTCCCTGTCTTATCAAGAGAGTATCTATCAGAATTACAATCCAAAATCGATATATATGAACTACTAACAGTGCAGGCACAAGCAGTCTAGTACCAGCTCAGCTACTAATGACACTCATTTACTTGAACTTGTACTTCAACTAACAACAAATCTCAGACCTTGCCGCATAGCAGGCCAACAGAACACTCAAAACTACCCTGCAGAAGCCTTTGCTTTTCCTGACTGAAGACACTGGGAGAGAGCACCCTGTTTTTGTAAATTATTTCTCTCTTTCTCTACAGATCAGCTCTTGAAACATTTGAAATTTTTAAAGGAAGAGCTGGGGAAATACATATCTGAATTTTGTTTGAAAATGAACTCTGAACTATGTGCTGTCTTCTCCCAAATCAATAACTGACATATCTCTATGCCACAGTAACAGACCGATGGTGAATATATAGCACTTCTTTCCATTTTCACAACTGCATTCTCTTTTCAATTTTGTGGTAGAAACCAAGAAGTGACACAGGGGACCCCAAAACATAGAAGGTCAAAGGAACATGTCCAGCAGAAATGCAGAAACAGAAGAGGTTTTTCTTGCTGGATATATTACATGTGGCAGATGACAATCTGGTATTTGTCATCTTTGTTTATTTTTTATTTTTTAATGTACTTCATTTTCAATTAAACTTTCTGTTTGCATTAATAATAGAATAAAACAATTTTACAATTGAAATTGCACTTGATATGGAAATGAGAAATAGCAATGGGCAATTTTCTAAGATTCATTTTAAAGTAAATGTGCAAATATTTACCTAGATGGTTTCTGGGGCTATTTGGGTAAATGTTTATTGACTGGTTTCTTAGAAGCTGAGATCACAGCATGGTTTTACTGAGAAGAGAAGTGTTAAATTATGAAAAATGCAGGTGGTGTGTTGGTTTAAAACAAACAAAAAAAACTCTAACCGAAACATTTATTTCTTCTCATGCTTATTCCCTCAAGCCGAATTCCCCCTAGTTGGTCATTAATTTCAGTTTTCATCCATCAGATTTGCCAAACCTTCCTAACACTAATGCAGCAGTAAGTATACTCCAATGTGTGTTTTGAATGGCCTTTGCCTGCTCGTTGCTGGAGGAAGTAATCTCTGCTCCTGCAGTGTTCTTAGTCACGAGGGTCTCCCAGTGCCTTCTAATTGCACTGCTAAGTAGACATGGGTGGTGGACATCTACTGACATCGCTCCAGCCTTTCATTCTAGCCAGGAAGGCATGAAGTGTGACTCTCTGTCTTAAAGAGAAGTGCCTACAGAGGACAGTCCATTCACGCCTGTCTGGTAAAGGAGCAGAGCTTTCTTGTGGTGTTAAATGTCAATGATGGGTCACTATCTTAGAGCGTGTACAGCTCCTTCATGTCGTCTGTGGGGAAGGAGGTGCATCATTCCACATATAACAGCCTCCGGGAGAAATAAGTGACAGACAGCTTGGAATTAGTGAACCCGGGTTTTCAGTGATGCTGGCTAGAAAAAAAAATATAAAATCTGCCTTGTTTCTTAGGGAACTGCCCAGTTGGGTCTAAACCTGGGCTCCTAGGCTGGTGTTGCTCAGTGTGACAAGTGACCATGAATCGTTCCTGTGGACAACTACAGCAATTTGGGTCTGTCTTATTCAGAAGCTGGACCATTGCAGCCAGACTGAAGGGTGATGTGGCTGTCGAGATGAAGGGCCATGGTGCAGTCTGCTTTTGGCAGTCATGGTGCACCTGTCTTGTGATTTTTAGGGTGAAAAGCGGTAACTTTCCATAATTCCTTTGCAACAATAGAAACGTTGAAGAGTAAGATCAAATGCAGACGGACAGGGAGATGATAGTTTTACTCCAGGGGGGTAAAACCCTCTGGAGAAACATCACTGTGATAAATAGCTGAGGCTGAAAAGCATGGCTTCTATGCTCATGATTTTATTTTCCTCTTTAATTTGTGTTTGGTGGATTTGGTCCAGTCACCTGCAATATGTCAGCATTTCCTGGAAATTCTGAGGAGATTTTGATGCGCTGAAACAAGGGGCTCTGGCTATGAGATGGGTCCCTTTGTGCTGCAGGTACTCACTGAAATGGGCTCTCCTGGCAGTTCCACAGCTCTTATCAGCCACATGGACTATGGTTTGCCTGATTTATTATTTCAGGAGAAAGCTTTGCTGCAACCTCTCAGAAAATTAGCTGAAAGCATTGTAGCCTAGTCAGGCTTTGATCATCACCTGTTTACTCCCAACAAAAAGCTTGAGTTATCAACCCACAGCTCCGGCGAGCTCACATGTTGCAGGCACTAAAAGGCCTCAGCTGCCTAATTGTTCTATCTTCCTTCTGCAATAAAATAGGCCCTTATGCTTGTCAAGCTCGTTGTGTATGATTAATAAATCTTATTAGGCCAAAGAGAATAACGTGGCTGGTGGGGGTGATTGTAAGAAAGGCTGGGATATGAATAAACTTCTAGGCAGAACGTCATAATTGAACAAGCTCAGTTAATTTTCTGCTCATCTTTTTTATGCTTTATAATACCGGCACAAGTGGTAGGTACAGATAGGTAGATACAGAGTTTGCTTCTCCTTTATTATCTGCAATTCACTGGAGCTTCTGACCACCAGAGTATGTATTACATCCGAGCTGCCAAGAGGTGGCAACTCTTGTAGTGGTCCTGTCAGCTCTGCTGATAGCATCACCACTGAAAGGAGGAAGATGAGATTAGCCAAGCAGTGGGCCTGTGCCCATGCTGAGAAAGGGAGCTGGTGCTTGAAATAAGACATAGAGATCTGCGAGCTGAACCATTTTGTATGGAAAAAGAGAGAGAGAAGCAATTGGGAGAGACTGGAGAAGGGGGTTGACGGAAGAAAACAGTAAGACTAGGAGAGTGAGTGTGATGTTGGATTGTTGCAGCTTAATACTTAATAGTGTGATTAATTACTTTTTCCACTCACATTGCCTGTCACTGGGTACCCTAACTGCTGATCTTGACGAGTGAGGAACAGGCTTTTGTCTTATAGGAAGCTCTCTGCACTCTTATTTCAGGGTGGGAAAACAGGCGTGGACTTTGATGGTGCCTCCTCTGCCTGCCATCACCAGAGTGGTGTGTCTTGTGCTTCTTGGTCTTACCAGCTGCACCCCAAAGGGCTAAAAGCCATGAGACACACACCTGAGGGGAGCGAGAAGGAGGAGGGAAAGGCCCGGCACTGCTTCAGTGGCTCACCAGGGGTTTATCTCCTCCTCTGCCAGAAAGGCTTGAGCTGGGCTTGCACCTGGGTCCACCTCTGCCAGCTCCTGCCCTCCCAGAAGCAGGGACCAGCGTGCAGCAGTGCCCGGCTGGTGGGCCAGTGCAGCAGGGTGGGTGCGGGAGCCCTGGGAGCTGCCACCTCCTGCCCAGGCTGTGTTCTCCCGGGCTGCCTGCTGAGAAACTGCCCGTTTCCCGCCTGGATTTAATTTTGTACTTGATCTGTTGAGTGTTTTGAGAATGAGAAGAAAATCACTTAAGTATTTTCCATCATGCTGATTTTGTAATGGGATAGGCATCTTGGTGTAATCCAAAGAATAACCCAAATTGCATATTTTGTCTCTCGTAGGAATTCAGCCTAGAAAATAACCAACTTGAGGATGTTTTTGTGAGTACATTTACCATGCTTTTTTCCTTAATTGCAAGAACACTTTCGGTGATCTTATACTGATTTTATTTGCTCTGAGCGCAAATTTAAGCAAGGCAAATGTTTTAGATTGCAAACTTCCACATATTCTTCTGTGGCTTTGTCAAAATGGCTAGGAAAATGCTGACTGTTGATTGAATAATCACTACGAGAAAGCTACTGAAAAGCGACGGATGCTGGAGTGAGCTATTTGTACACTCTGACAAAAAATAAATCAAAAAAAAGGAAAGAAGGCTGGGAGTGTGACCTCCTGCTCCAGGGCTATTGCAACAGTTCTTGCCACTGCTGTTTCAGATTATTTAGTCAAACGTACAGTTGATTGCATGTCACTTGTGCTTTTTAGCACTAGATGTGATTATAGATGAGAATGCTCCTCTTTATTGTGTGGCCTTTCACTCATAATGTTTATAGGATGCTCTTGGCAATAGTCATGATGCCTGCTTTTTGATTAATCTATGAGCGATTTATCTTCTGGTAATAGTGAGTGTTGCAATGCTGCTGTACAGTTCTTTATTCTCCTTTTGCTCACTGAATGTGGAGAGAAAAAAAAAACCAACAAAAAGTTATGTTTAGAGTCCCATAAACTGGAATGTAACTTCAGATTATGAGCAAGATTTGTTTAAAATCCCAATTTTCAACACCAGGATTGAAATGAAGAAGATAAATAATTTTCCTGTAGACTTTGGCAATGGGGCAAATGTCCTAAGGGTATTTGCCAGTTCAGTGAAAAACTTGGTTTCCTAAGTTGGTATTTCTTTCAGCTGTATTTTTTACTCTAGCCTTCTTGGAATCATTTGTCATAGTTTTTCTTCTCCTCTTGGTTCTCCTTTAATAAATATAACACCTGTGGAATATTGTCCTGCTGGTTTTGATGTCTTTGTGACTTGGTCTTTCTGCTTTTGTGAAGTCTTTTTTGTTAATATTAACTTGCCCTCAGCTACTTGACTTGGTGTCCACAGTCTGTATTCAATTTCCATGTGCTGGAGGCACTGAAGAGCTCACAATTTAACCAAGTAGGACTTGTACTACATTTCCTATCACTTCTCTGTCCTGGAATAGTTTGTGTTTGTGCTCTTAATGGTGCTTCTTTAATCAATTAACCATTTTTCTTTTTGTCTCCCCAATGTTTTCTTGCACTAGTTTCCTCAGTTTATTGATTTTTATCTTCTCTGAGTATTTTCTTATCCACTTCTCTTTTCGGCATCAAATACAATTGCATTCTCCATTCAATTGTTTTAGTAGATGCCAGATCCTCTCAATGAATTTCTTTCTTGATAAGATTTTTTATTTTTTTTTTTGAAAGCATGGGGAGGGGAAAACACTAGGTTTCAAATTGTGACTCGTTTTGGAATTTTCTAGTGCTTTTCACTGAACTTCTCCTTAGAGACATGCTTACTCCAGGTGTCCTTGATTTATTTTTTTGGCCAATACATAATAGAAAGTAAGTTGCTCTTAACTATAACCACTCCTGTGCTTCACCTTCTGCAAATCTAAGCTCACCTACCAAATCCACATGCATAATATGCAGCATTTTATTTATCCTTGGGTGACACCTCTCTTGCATGATTATGCAAAAACATCATAGCCAGTTTATTTTTTTTCCTCCATAGTTTAAATGCTGTTGTACCATTCACATCAATAGATATCCAGCACAGAGAAACTAAGGAGGAATATACCGGTGAGGTTTTTCAGACAATCCTGGTTATCAGTGATTTTACTTAGTTCAGACACAATAACAAAATATCTCTGATATAATGTCATGCTTTCTCTGAATGGGGTTATATACTTATGTCTGATCCCTACATTCTTAATAACTTTGTATATAACCAAGAAATTGTGCACTGAGCTCCACTGTAGAAAATAGATGCTATTTCACTGAATTTTTAGAGTTGGAAGGGACCATAGAGATCATCTAGTCCAACTCCCCTGC